TTCCTGATTTTTGGCACAACTGTGTTTTGTGTTCCAATATTCTATTCTCTGTAATAGTAGTGAAAGCAGAGAAGGGCTGGCGTCATAAGCAGAAGTAGCTTCTTCTAGATCTTGAACTTCAACTGCTAAACACTTTAGCAAACAAAATAAAGATTAAAATGGAAATAACTGCATTGTTTTATATGTCTAGTTAAATACTTCTTTATCTTGAGACTAACAAATATTCTGAAAATGTATTTCGTATTTGCTTGAAATCACATGCAGTGAACTTACTGGTATGTGGTGGTGCATTTTGGGTTAATTGCTTTCTTTTGTAGTTTTTAAATGCCTGTTCGTCAGCTAATCAGAAAAAATTTATCCAAGACCCGTTGTATAAACTTTGTATTCTGAAACTTAGGTGAACTTTTAACTAGCTTTTTTTAATCTTTGTTTGTCATTTGACAACTACTTCCCCTCTTTTCCTACCTCTTTTCCACTGGGTCTTGATTTTAGTGTGTCCCTTTGGTGTACTTTCTTGTGTGCACACCAATGTTATTGTTGTCAACACAGGGTAACTCTGGGAACAAATAATGCCAGTCAATTAGCATTTGCTCAGCAACAGCTAGGCACAGAACAGAGTTCTGCTGTTTTGCTTAGGACCTGCATGAATAGAGAATGTTAATTTCTTCATTAATGACTTTCATACTGATTTTTTTTTTTTTGGAGCTTTTGAAGAATATTCCCTTCTAGATTGATAATTGTAAGGTAGGACAGTCAAAATTTGGTTCTAAACAGGTTGACAGCGTTCTGTTAATATTTATATCCAAATCTGATATTTTTCTTCATCTTATGAATTATTAATTCTGTGGGCTTACATTTCATAAAACATAAAGGAAGGTTTGTCTTTTCTTTTGAATTTTCAGTTTTGACACAAGAGTTATTAATATGAGTAGTGTGTGACAGATTGCCTTATGGCATGTCTGGTCTTATGACCCATTGAAGCTTTTTCTTTTTCCTCTGCTTTTTTTTTCCTTTTTTTTTTCCGTTCTCATTTTTAAACCCAATGTGTGAATAATGGCTTCTTCAGTGCAGTTGGCCTCATTACACCTTGTCCAAGTCGGTGGGTATTTCTTACAGGCTCAATCCTGGAGGCACTTTGTGATTGTCCTCTTAACACAGGGATCATGTTTAATGTAGCAAACTTAGATTGCTGTTTGATGTTAATGACAGCCTATCAGGCTATTATTAAATATGTATGAGGTGTCACAATGCACTCCGTCTTCATGCTGCTGGTGGAGGAAATGATTTGGTAGTCTACTTGGATGGTATGGGTTTAAATGTGGGGCATATCAGTTATATAGCATCTTCTTAAAGAAGTATTCTAAAAATTGCCTGAAAAATACATGATATGTAATGGTATGGAAACTTCCTAGCAGAATGGCTGCCTGTCACATTACTAAGGTAAACAACAATGTTGTGTTATTAAAACAAACCAACCACGCTTCGGTTTCCAGTGTTCTTGCTAGAATGCTGTGTTCGAAGTTTGTTGGAAGCTGTTGAGGCACCCCCAGAAGAGTGTTTGGGTACCAGGCTTGTTGTGTGATTTGTAGAAAGGATCAAGCATGTTTTTGAAATTGTAAATGACCACAGCTTGAATGACACTGAAACCAATGTTAATGTGCGGGAAAACTACTTAACTAGTTTACTTGGGTATTTGTTATGACATTATTGACACATCAGAGAATTCTTGCAAAGCTGCTGTGTCTCACAGTGCACCTTAATGAATTCTTTAGTTCTTCCCTTAATGAACCACATCCTTGCTGCCCAGCTTTTATACCATCCCTCTTGTTACCTGTGAATAATACTCTCTTTGTCCCCATTGAGAGGACAACTGAGGAAAATCACTTGGTGCATTCATATGGATTCTAATAGAATTCATAGAATCTGCTGTATGTCTGGGGCGCGGGGGGGTGGGGTGGGGAAGCAGCTGTGCATTGGCATTTACAAATTGCATAATGAAATCAGGGGTATCTCATGTGTTTTCTCTGTCTCTCTGTGTGTTTATGTATGTACATACACAGATTTAATCCACTTTACCTTAATTTTTTTTTTTAATTACCTCTGTCACAGGGAGATGTTTCAGTACAGCCTCCGTTCTCAAAAAGTAGGAGGATCCAAAATTGAGGATTTCTTATCTTACAGCTTTTAATGGCCTGGTAGAATTCTTGGACGTGGCATGTCAGTAATACTGAGAGGCAAACATTATCAGTGAGGGGGAAATACTTGCATTTGACTCACAGTTGGTTTTGCACTAGAATATGTACCTCAATGCTGTGTAACCCCTGTGTAGGGATGGTGAAAGAAGGAAAAATTCTTGATTTTCTGTATCGGTGAATTAGGCTGCTGGATACTGTTACATCAAAGATTTTTACAAGTAAATAATTAGTAACTGTGGTGCTAGTTCCCGGTTGCTCATGGTCTGTTTGTCAGTGTCTGTGGCCTCTACTATGGAATGTGGTAATAATACATGGCTACCTTGTAATACCACCTCCTTTTGCAATACAAAAGTATGTTGTAAAGCAGGTGTGAGGCTTGATCCCTTTTCCTATTAATCATGGTTCTCTTCCACCACAGACAGTGACAGGGAGAAAATTGTTCTGTGGACTTTTTTGTTGGTCTGGGATTTTTAGTTTTGTGGTTTTTTTTTTTTAAACAGCAATTTATATATTGGATAAAGAAGAACCTACTAATTGCATTAATCAAGAAAATACATTATAATGATTCAGTAAAAAGAACTAGTTAGTAAAGTCTGTGCTGAAGACAGTTCCAATTCTCTTGTTTCAGTATCTTGCAGAATAATTAGCACATTATTTAAGATTAAATATGAAGTTATTAGGCTTGTAAGAAGGGATGTTATCAAGACACTAAATGTGTCTTTTTTTTTTAAAATCAGCAATAAACTTCTAGGTCTGTTTCATATCTGCAGGTATTTTTAGTTCTTCTGGCAAATAATCTTAGCACACCAAAAAAACCCACCAGACTTTAAACTGAATATGTCATACAGATCTTAAGGAAGTTAATCATGTTTTGGGAACAAGCATGAAAGCTTTAATCTAAAAAGTTGAAAATATGTTTGCAGCTTTCTCAAGATAGATGGAAAGTAATTTGAATTCTACAAAATGTCACCTAGGCACTTCACCCACTCTTCAGAGAACACTTTTTGTGTGGTTTTTTTTTAACTTTAAATTAAAAAAAAATAAACATACTATAATTAGCTAGGTAAAATAAGACAAATATTTTAAAACTTCTCATCAGTATGAAGTTCATATTAGTATCTCAGGTTTCTGTAGTCGGGAACAGTGAATTCTTTGTCCTTAAACATACTTGTTTTTTATAGGGCAGTCAAAATACAGTGGCAGTCATTTCTTTCCAAGCAGCTGATGCATACCTAAATTGCTCGTTGCAGTAGCTGGAGCTCTGTTTAAACTTGTTTGAAATATCATTGATTATCATTCTGATGTTTCACCAGTGGTGGATATTTTGGGCTTCGCTGTGTGAAATTGCATCAGGCAATTTCTCTTCTCCACATGGTCTGGGATGCAGACCCTCCCTCCTCTCCCCATGCCAAAATATATTAGCAATGAGGTTTTTTGGGACTTATTTGCAGTACTCCGGGGTTGACTAACTTGCCTGTGCTGCATTACAGGAAGCTTGCTGTTTTTAAGGGCTTAAAGAGTGGAAGCAATTTTAGCTTTGGTCATTGGCAGCTTTGCCAGCCCGGAGCGCTGCTCCTGCCTGTGTGAAGCAGCCACGACCCTGTTGTAGTATCCATGTGACTGCAGTCTGAGCGTGTTATAGTGTGAGGTGAGATGACAGCCGTCGGGGATTTATAGAGATGTTGTAATGGCGGTGGATTTGGAGGGAACACAGGGGCACGGGGTAGTTACTACAATCTGCCTTAAGTGTTCGGTGGTGTCTGTGAGGCTGGACAGCACTGAGTGGAGGGTTATTCACAGCATTCTGAACTTGGGTGGTGATCAGATGCAGGTCAAACTTCTGCGTGAGTTGCTTTTGTGGACTTAGCAGTGCATCTTGCCCCACTGATCTTGCAGTGTGGCAGAGAGTTGAGGGGGCACGTACTGCTACAGAAGCTAATTACTCTTTCTGTCTGCAAACTAGCTGCCCTGGATTGCTGGATGGCTAGTAGGCCATGATTAACCATTCTCACTGCAGTGAACCTGGTTATGTTGCTGAGAATGGAAACGTGTCACTTGTTTTTTCAAACTGTTTTCTGGTGGATTGCTGTCCTGGGAATGTGCTAGAGATAGAGATGGTTTTTCAGACAGTGGGGTTATCTGATGAATGTTGATAGCACACGTTAGCTATAGTTTGACTGTTTAGTTGCAAGAGTGATAATTTTCTTTTGCTGTGATAATTGGAAGATTTTTGGGAGTATGAAGTTAGGGAAGCACCTGTGTAAGGAAGTGGTGCAGTGTCAGAATTTAGCAGGTCAGGTGTTTACCCCTTCCCAGGGCATGACCCAGTGTTTTGGGAAACCCTCAGCTATTAACTGGCTATATTGTTTGGCTATGTCTTCATCATAAAAAACATGGATTTACAACTTCAGCAGTTGTAGGAGATACGCTTGGAAGGCTGGTGGGACAATGATGATGTC